GTGGGGTTTTATGTGGGTTTTTTGTTTGCCTTTTTTTTTTCCCTCTTAACTCTATGGTTATTTGCTTAAATTGTTTAATAATCAGTAGTACAGAGAGATTAGTTTAGGTGGAAGGTAGATGCTAATAGATGTGTGGTGTTTTACCATGTGTACTGCTTATAAAGACGACTTCCACAATTCACTTGCAAAATTCAGAAGCATAAACATTTTGGGCCTTCTGTGTTATTAACTGTTTTCTTTTAATCTTGAATATAGCAGATACCACCCACAACAACTTCAGTGGAAAGCTACTATTTTAGAAACTTGGAATCAATTTTGTGTGTGTATTGCAAAATCTAATGTAGTCTAGCTAAGGTACAATAAATATATACTTACCACAACATAAGTTTTCACACACTGATTGCTGCCTTTAAATATACTTTTAAACAGTTCTGTGTTTGCATTTTTCAAATTCGTGGATAGTGAATATTCATAGTCTTAAATAGTGCTGTGAAATGGTACACAGACTGTCCTACAGTATCTGTTCCACTTACGGACTGATTAAATACTTCAGGAAAAAAGGTGACTCCCTGGTCACAGTACCTAGATTCTTCCAAATGTAGTCAAATAAATCATGCCATGCCTTCTGATATAGAAGATCAAAACAAAATAGGTTGAAGAAGGGAAAAGGACACATAGAGACAACTAAAAATACACTTACCTTACAAATTTGTATGTGTTTTAATGTGCGTCTTGTAATTAAGGAAACTTACCATATCCTTTACATCTTGCAATCCTTAAGAAATTTAAATATTTCTGAGGAATGACTAAGCTAAAAAGTTCAGAAAATTTTCCAGGGGTAAGAAGGGAGCATGGAAGTATGGATGGAGATACTGCTGTGAGATAATAAAGAGGACAAAGATGAGAGGTGTAAGGCGCTACACGTGAGATGTGAAGGAGTGTTAGAGTATGATCCTTTAAAGTGTGTACTAGAACCCTCAAACTTCCCATTTACTATGTTCAGGTCTTTCAACATGATCTATGTGCTTTTACACTTTCTGTGTAAAACTAGTAGGGTCATGTCTTAGCTACACTTTGTTACGTTTAGGTCTTGGACTCTGTTATTCCTTCCTTAAACCAAATCTTTTAGGATAGAAGATACAGCTGCTTAGTACTTAAGATGTATCTAGAACTTCATCCTCATCAGTATTGTATTTATGGACTTATGAGGAGCTAAGTGGTAACAAAGCAAGTAAGTGCATGCATGCTTGGAGTACATGAAAACATTCATGCTACTTTAGTTAACAGAGCAAATAAATAAATAAATCTCAGAGTAATACATTCACATACGCTTCCCACATTTTTTTCTCTTCATTGCAGAGTGTTTTGAGACCTAGGTCAGAGTCTGTCTCAAAATTCTAGAGGAGGTGTCATCCACATAGGCAATATTCTCCAAACTCTGGTTACCTGAAAAAAGATTTGGGGAAAAAAAACCCCAAACTGATATAATCTAGATACAACTATCCTGTTGTCCCACTTAGAAAGAGGAGCTATTAGTTTTAAAATTTGCTGTGTGGGGACATACATGGCCTGTGCAGTCAGCTACATGCAGTTACAGTCATGTTAAAATGCTTAGTATTATGGCAGTTTCTTAGGATCAAACAGAATGTGTGTCCCTGCTTAGATGAAATCTCAGTTTATTTTGGACACTTCATTGCTCTTGTTCTTTTATTGAATTTAATGCACAAAGAAACTGTTAGAACTATGAGCACCTTATTTTGTTTAACAGAAGCTAAAATCCTGCAGCAGCTATCAAAAATACAAAATAATGTGAAGAGACTTCAGCAACAATTAAAAGATGTGAAACCTACACCCGAATGTAAGTTGTGATGACAGATTTAAAAACATTTTCCTCTGTAGACAGGTTTCTTGCATAGTTGGGCTTGTGATTCTCCTGCAAACTTGGGATACTCTTCCTCCAGTCTCTCTCATTTTCCAGGAATCTGGGAAGGGAAGAATGCAGAAATGTAAGAAATGGTGAAAGATCGTACAGTTCTGTGTGGAAACAGAGAAACTTACTCTGTCTTAGAAGTGGTGTGGGTTTGCTTCTTCAGGCTGTTGAAAGCCAGATATTTTCTATATGTAACTCTTTGCCTTATGTAAAATAAAGTTGGTATTCTAGTGCCATTTAGATACAGCTCCCTTTCACCTGGTAAGAGGTCACAGAGTAGGGTCTACAGGGAACTTATTTCTAGCCGTCCACATGGCTTGAAGTGTAAGTTGGAATATTCTGTGGAAAATGCTGAAACAACTTGTTCAGTTTGAGTATTTTGAAACTTTTGGGAAATAGGCACTGAAAGAACCATTCTCCTGTGACACTACTATGTCGTGTGGAGCTCAGGTTGAATAACTCCTACTGAGAGCTTTCTGATGCTAGATAAAATGCATCTTATTTCATTTATTCAGTGTCTATTTTATAAAAAATGCGTTATCTTCTTAAGCTGTCAGCAAAGATACTAAGAACTAAAAAAGCATGAAAGCTGAACTAAGAGTTTTAGATGATATAACTGTACCAATTTAGTTTATTATGTTTTAAAGCCAGGTTAGTTAAACTATGTGTTCAATATGTGTCCATAGAGATGTTGTGCTGGTTTAAAAAAGATTCTAAAACTTTTTTCTACCATTGCAAAACAGATCTTCTCTAGACAGCTGTCTTTCTGTCTTTCTCCATATCAGGACTACAGCATGCTGACAGTACAGGATAAAGTCTTACTTTGATGTTTGTCAGCTTTGTAAAAGTAGTGACCTGTAGGTTAAATAGGATTGCTACAGCCTGGTGTAAACCAAAGGTTGGAGTGTGCTTCTTAAGTCACTAACTGCACTGTTATAAAAAACAAAAGTGGAAACTCCTTAGGATAAGGCTGACTTGTTCTGTGAATGAATTGAAGGTTACTCAGAATGAGACTTGTTTAATAAAAATAAACATTTATACTGGGATTTGCATCCAGTTAGCTAACTCACTGTGAAATCACATCTTTTGAATAAATGTGAGTCTGCCTTTTAAGGCTGTTTGAGATGGAAATGCATGCTTTTTTGTACACTGAAATAAAAGTGACCCAGAAGTCTCTGCAAGTTCCTACATTTCTGGATAGTGCTGAATTATTGGTAAATACTGTAGACTTCTTAAGTGATATGCTCTTTTCTTCCTTTCCTTTTTAGTTGTTCACAAGCTCAAGGAAATGATGGAGGAAGTTGAAAATGCAATCAATGCTTTTAAAGAGGAACAGAGGCAAATGTATGCTTATACATGCTTCAGCTACAAGAAAAAGTGCTTTCATAAGACACAATGAAAACTTTGCATTAATCAAGTAAACTATTCTTTTGATTTACTCTTTTGCCAGTGATTCCTGTGGTATGTAAATCAAAACTGAAGCTATCAACATTAGAATCTTGATAAACAGCCTTTTAGAGAAGCTGTTATATAATAATTGCAGTGATCCGATGTAACAATGATTTGTCTATGAAAAGGCTTTTTAGAGAAAGGCTGTAGAAGAGATTAGATTGTGGGGGTTTTGTTGTTGCTGTTGTTTTGGTTTTTTTAAGTGGGTGGGGGTTTTTTTCCCCCTTTCTCTCTACTGGTGTCAGGAGGGGATTGAATTAGTTGTTTGAGTGCCATAAATGTGTGCTTTCACTAAAAGGGTAACTTAATTCTGAGTAGTGCTTTATTATGGGATCATTACAACAGTTCTGTCATCTGTGTTACCATTTCAGTTCTTAATCTTTGAAGAATAGCTTTTGTGTGGCATTGAACAATTCCAAAATTCATTTTCGGTGAATGAACAATGAATACTGGATTTTTTTTTTTTCCCCTTACATTTCAGTGTTTGTTCTCTTTTCAGATATGAACAGCTTTTGAAGGAGGAAAAAACTGCCATTAATGAGCTCAGTGTCTTTGAGAGAAAAGTGGAACTGTGGGCGTTAGGCAGCTCAATAACAGAAAAGGTTTTGAAATTAGCATCAGCCAGGATCTCAGTTGATAAAACACTGGAAAATCATCTACCTGAAGAAGTAGTAGAGTTTGAAAGATTTCTTCAGCGAACAGGAGGGCGACAAGGAGGCTGGGATGATTATGATCATCAAAATTTTCTGAAAGTATGGACAAAACACAAAGGAAGGCTGTCTTACATGGATGAAGCCCTTGAGTATCTCTGTGGAAGAACAAAAGAAGATATTGAACAGCATGACAAATGGTATCAAGAGTTTCTAATTTTACATGAAAGAAAAAAAGAGGTAAAATAACCCCTCTAGGGCTTTTGTAGTTTTAAGAAAAAATACTTGTTTTTAAAATGCATGCATTTCTTATTTTTGTATTTGCCTCTCTGATGGTAGTGCTAGGTGGATTTTTGTTATAGTTGATGGTATATAACTGAAGTCTTTAGTATCCTCAAGTTACCAAAAATATGTCTTAAAGAATTACCAATAAGCATAGACCTAACAACACACTGAGGTGGGCTGTGTATTGCTGAAGTACATTACAAATGCTTCTGATGGCAGTGGTCCAGCAAGTTAGATGCCCATCCCACAGCATAAGTGATCCTATCTGAAACTGCAGTTCTTATTACATCTGTCCCTAAGAATATCCCTAAGAAAATGTATAGCCAATATACCTCTGCCATACTGACATGGAGAATTATGATTCCTTCAAGAACTATCCATCTGAGTAATAAAAGATACACTGACATAAAAACCGAATTATAAAATAGTAGTTGGAATTGTTAATTTGAAGAAAAAAATTAAGACCCGAAATATGTTTGCATTTAAAAAAGCCTATTACATCAACATTCCTAACTACACCAAGGTAATATGAATGCCATAACTTAAATAATTTTAGCAGTCACATATTAACCCTGCCTGTGTGATCCATAAAATAGAAAAAAAAATTGTGAGAAAACAAACATAGGTGCTTTTTTGCATTAAGTTTTGCCTTTAGTAGACTTTTAATTCCTATCTGCAGTTTGTATCCTTGGAGCGTATGTTTTCATCAGACCGAATCAACAGGAATGTGTAAAATTTTCATGAAACCCTTCCCCCCCCCCGCCCCCCCGCTCTTCTTTTGCAGTCAATTATGAAGTGGAAAGAAAAGCAGCAGCAAGAAAAAGAAAGAAACTTGAAGGAGAAAGAGCAATCAGAAAAAATGCTCAAGGAACAATGGCTACAGCGTGAAGAAGCTCAGAAGCAAAAAGCAGAAAAAGAAAGAAAAAGACAACAAGCAGCAATTGAAGCATGGAAGAAACAGAAAGCAATAGCATTTGCAATGGAACAAGCATCACAACTAAAACTAGAAGAAGAGAGGGAGAAAAAACAACAAAAAGAACGCCAGCGCCAATGCCACATGAGGTTACTGTTGGAAAGGTATACCTTGCAGAAGAAAGAAAAGGACGAACTTGAAAAGCTTGAAAAGGAGAAGAGAGAGGAAGCTGAAAAGGAGGAAAGGAAGAGAATTGCTGCAGAAGAAATTACTAAGTTTCAAAAGCGTGTGCGTAATTACATCTCCATTTATGTGTGTTGTTTTAAATTCACCTACTTCCTCCTGTAATATAATCTGTTAAACACTTTTAAAAATCCTTGATACCCAAGTTTCATTCATTTAAGTCTATTTTTGATTCACTATGAGTAACAGTATCTGCTACATAGAAAAAAGAGTATGAAACTTTATTCTAGGCAAAAATGTTGCTTTTCCTCAATACCTAAGTTTACAGGATTATTAAAGCCCTTTCTACATATAGAAGTGGTTTTATTTACTTCAATGTGAAAATGTTTGGGGAAGAACAGCTTAGGCTGTGTTGCTCTCCATGCTATGGAAAATGTCAGAAAACCTGATTGTTGGATGCAGGTATGAAATAAAATGAGATGTTGAAGATCCTGCAGGTTTCCGTAGCTGTAAGGTCAAGTTAGATCCCATCTCAATGTAAATCTGATTACTGGAGAACCAATATTATTGTCAGCATACACTAAAGTTCATTTTTATAAACAGAGATAAGCTACTACAATCCATTTTTTTTCAGTATGGTGTAACTATAACTTGTTTGTGCAGAACAACCTGTAGCAAGTAGCTACCTAGTGTACCTTTATTCTGTACTATGACAAAATAATTTCAAAACAAAAAAATAAACTGTGAAAAGGCTGATATATATTTTGATATTATTTGTTTTATTTCCAAATAAAAGTTTGCTTTTCCATTTGTTACATATTTCAGGATCTACATAAACTGGAGCTAAGGATTCTACAAAAACAAGCTAAAGAAGTAGAGAAACAAGAAAAAGAAAAAAGGTTGGCAAAGTTAAGAGAGAAGGTAACTTACCATTTTGGGGGTTTTTTTGGTTTTTTGGTTTTTTTTTAATCTGAGATGTGTGCAGCTTGGTTGTTTAAACAACCTTTTTCCTCATCGCTCTAAAAAGCAATTATTTTTACTTATCTACATGGTTGATAAAGGGAAAAAATTTAAATAAAAAGTCATGTTCGTTATCAGGAGACAAAAATGCAGGAGGCATAGTTGTTCTTGTGTTTAAAAAAAGAGGAAAAAAAAGGCAAGAACTTATTTCTCTCCCACCAATATTTATTCCGGGTAAATCCTATAGCTCATACAAATGAGCTGCAATATGGGTGGTGTTTTTAAAATGGTTTTCTACCATTAGTTAACTAAGTAGGCTGGCTTCCAGAAGAGTTTTGGGAACACTGTCTGAGTTCTTACAGTTTAACCTTTTAAATTACTAAAATTTAATGACAGCAAGCAGCTGTTGCCCATCTCACTGATTTCATGTTTCTGCCATTTATTCTGATAGTGTGGAGGGAAAAGTCTCTTTCTGGCTAGCCTGCTGTGTTTTGTTTAGTCTGCACCTATTCATATGATGAAAATCTAATTACAGTGTATGTAACTCATTCTGTGATCAATGAAAAAGACCAATTTTTTGTTTGTTTCACTCTAAGGTCGAGATTCACGTAACCAGAGACCGGTCCAGGTTGTACAGACCTACCAAGGGCTGGGAGGAACGCAAAAAAGAGCACGCACCAACAGCTTCAGAACGGCTTTTACGTGTTCCTCATAGGTAAGGAGGAGAACAATGGACGCGTAGCACGACAAAAATACAGTTATATATGAGCTCTTTATGCTTTTTTTACCTTGCTTTTAGAGCTGTCCCAGCCTGGAGACAAGGGCTGTAGATGAGCACCTGCCTGTCCCTGTCGCAGGATGATGACTTCCTTGCCTATGAAGCGGCCAGTAGTCTTCGGGAGTTGTCACAAAATTTGCTTGACACAATGACGTATATTACCTTTGTATTTTTTGAGTGTCGGATTTGAAACGTCATCTGTCAGACTGGCAGCGTTTGCGTGGTGGCACGTATTTCCGTTTGCATTAAAATCGCCCTTCCCGGCAGGCGAAACGACGGGCGGCCCCCACCCGC